AAAAAATGTTAGGCAGCAATGAAAACATGGTTTATTTTCTAGTGAAAATAAAAAGCGAAAAATACTACCGCTAAAAATTAACTCCGAAAACAGGAAACACAAACAAGCCCATAGCCGTTCTTTTATTCCACATAATCTCCATTTGCTCTATGATCACGTGACTAAAAAAATCTACTAGCTCTACTCCGCTCGGAGGTACTTTTCAAAGGTATCATTAATAACATTTCCTTTTCAAAATATAAATCTATAGTTAATGAGTTTGTAACTTTGTACCTAATTCGATATTTTTCGCAATTTTGGACAAAATATCGAGTTTGTGTACAAATTTACAAATTTTCATTGATAACAGTTTTTTGATGTTACTGCTAAAATCGAAATTAAAGGTGGTCGGCATTACTATTTTATAAATCGTGCTCGTTAGGTACCAAGCGAGTCGTCTCACTCAACGCACATGGAACGTGCTTCCAGAAGTATATACTAAAACTGTCGCTCAAAAATGTCACTTTTAAGAATCAACCAGTGATCAACAGGACGATGGTGGTTTAGAAAACAATATGCAATGCAAGAGTTGCAGAAATTGCTCACTGTACTTCTATTCCATCATTTGTAAATATAATATGTAAAAAGAGGCTTACCCAAAGTTGTCATTAGCATATAAACATTTACTGACAATTCAAAGTAGAATGCGAGAGAAGTTTTTCCACACTGAAGTACTTGAAAAACAGGCTAAGAAGTACTCTCAGTCAAAACCGACGACATATACAAATCGACATATTAAATACAACAGAAAATGACATCATTGAACGTTTATGAAAGAACCAGTATTTTATTTTTAAAGAAACTGTTATTTTGACTGCAAAACTTTATAGCGTTTCCCATTGGAATGTTCAGTACGATTTTAGTGTATTCTTACTTTCTTGTTTTCCATATCTATAAACAAGGACACAAATATACTCAGTGCGTACCCAATAAACACAGTTAATCGGCACCGTAACTGGGCCGACGAAGGCTTGCCGGATGCCGGACTTTGCCAGATATACGGCATATAGGTAGGGCATATCCGGCCAGCCGAGTGTCCTACATTGTAGCCGCGTTCATATATCTATATATAGTTCGGCCCGTAAGGGTGCCTCCCATGTCTGGAAAGCCACATATGGACCACATGGAGTTTCTACTTCTAAATTACGTCAAATGGTACTGTGATGTTTGTTTATTTTCAAACAACAGTTCATTTATTAATAATTTATTTAAACACTTATTTATTTATAACACTATTATTCTAATTTATATATACTTCGAATGTCTTTAAATCGCTCACAATATTTATATTCACCACTGTCTATCTACTAATTACTATTTATCTTCACTGTCCATATGATCCTGAACTGATGGCTCATCCACCAATATTTATATACACATTTCTAAAATTTGGTGGAGTCGCGAAGCTTCTCCACCAAACTAGAAATATTTCGAACAGTCCAGAAATATTATCTCGTCCTTTCTCGAACATCATCGAAATCACCTCCGCCATAGTCGTCCCATAGGTTTGGACTTAAGGGATTTAATTATGTATAATAATCGGACAAGTTGAGCCTTAAAGACCAAATAAGACAGAGAGAAACTTGTAGGGTTAGAGCATGACTGAATAATGAAATGGCTCACATAACAGTACGGTCCTCCCGGCTGCAGATATTTTTTTTTAACCATCCTCCTGAGTCCTACCGCTTGCCGAGTCTTCACTTACTGCCTTTGCGCTTACCTATCTTTAATTTTATTGCAAGTGATCATATTGTGTATTGTCATTTTTGTTATTATTGTTGTACCTCATTCCAGTTGGAAATATGTTAAGTTAAAAATGCAGGAAGATAATATAATAATTATATTTATTCAAGAAAACTATAAAGAATTAGGAATAATTGCAAGTATAAATACAAAGTTAAATGATTATTCAAATGAAATAGGTAGTACCTACAAATAGAGAATAAATTAGACATTGATAACTCAATGAGGCATTATAATGCCTGTGTGCAAGCTAGTTTATTTTAAAACATGTATTTATATAAGTATAATACGATATAAAATGATAAAGAAATAAATAAATACTAAAAACAAAAAGTATCTTCGTTTTTCCCTTTTGTAAGCTACGGACAGATATACTTGTAAGTAAAAAAAGTAGCTTTATAGGATCAGTGTAATTTGAGAAAAAACTAAATATTAAAAAGTACCCATTCTATAGACATTTAAAAAAAAATTCTGATAACCGAATATTTTCTAAGAAAAGTTGCAAGATTGTAATGTTCCTAACATTTTATAATTTTCTTACAGTTTTGTAGAGTTTCAGTACCTAACTGGATAAAGTATGTAAATATCAACAAGAATGAAATTTTCTTAAATCGTAGATTTATTTAAAAAATATGACAAAGAAAATTTTTATAAGTGAATCAAAATATTATTTATTAATGAAATAATTTCAGTTATTTACAAAATAAAATATGTATACCCACTCTTTAATTGTAGAACAAAAATTGTCGATATACCGACCTAAGGCAAAATGTCTATAAAATTGTAACTTTAATAAGAAAATTCTTATCTGTATTTCTTTTTTTAGAAATAATATATCTACATTATGTAATGGGTACTTTTTAGTGTAATGAATGTTATTTATTACGTTCAATCATAGGACCCAATGGGTGCTATGATTGAACGTTTACGTTATCCGTAACGTACATGTTAGACCGAATTTTAAAAGTAACAAGGCAAGTTCGTATGATGAAAACCTGTTAAATTAGAACATAACAGGCGGAAAATAACAGTATTGTGTTGGAAAAAGTTTTCCATTGTACGAACTTGCCTTGTTAAGGTACCATTTCGGTAGGCGCGACAGACGACCGCCGACGCGACATACAGCCGCCGACGCGACCGAGAACTGTCGCTTCACATCTAAAATACATACAATTATATGAAACGCATTTCGCACGGCGCGACACGAGAAGTGTCGTCAAGACGACACTTCCTGCAGACACTTCTGAATCTGTCTCGGGGTCACTGTCCTCGGAGTGTCGCACTCGAGGTTGGGAATTTCTTTCGATCTAGGCAGCGTTGCCAGATTTTGGAACAGTATAGGTAAAAAAAAACCGTAGATCTGAACAGTAGATTTTAATACAGGGGGAAATAATTATAATTTGCAGTGTAGTAAATAAAAAAACAAGTATATAAGAAACGAAAAATAAACTTTTTTCTACCCAAATTAGAAAGTAAACAGAGAATAAAAACAAATAAAAACATTTATATTATATACTTAACGTACGGGAAAAAACCAATGAAAAATAATAAGTACCTACTTCTTTTAGATCAGTCTGAATCAGATTATTCAAAATCGTAGTGTTTGGCATATGCATGTTCTTTTTATGATGCCCTATTAATTCTTTGTTTCATTTTAAATAAAAACAATGATTATATTGATGTTTTTTTTATAGAGCCAACCTACAGTAGTGGATGCTTATTACGCTGCTTCTACTGCAGAAAATATTCTTTAACCATTTGCTGAAGAATGAGGCAAACTTAATAAATTAAGAACAAAATTTACTAGAGACAAAAACACTGGATCTACGTAAAAACAGTAGGTCTAACAACGCTGATCGTTCCCTCGAATGGTTATTTGCAAGTGTCGCGCGACACTTCTTCAAGCTTCCGAAATGTATGGAGCGTAACATTTATGCAGCTGTCGTCCTACTGGTCTCCTCAGTGGTCTCCTGTCTCCTGACGGCCCTGACGCGGCTACCGAAATGGTACCTTTACTGTTAAAACTCGGCCTAACATGTACGACGGATAACGTAAACGTTCAATCATACGACCCAATGGCAATTCGAGTACTCGGCTTCCCGTACATTCCGGTGTCAGGCCGAGGGAATGCCGACTATTTGTGGTGTGCCAGTGTCAATGGAAAACTCCATTAGATTCCTTTCCTTTTTTATTTATGTGATATTTGTGTTAATAAAATTAAGAGTTCCTTTTTTATTTATGTGATACCTATTTGTGTTAATAAAATTAAGAGTTCCTTTTTAAGTTTATATGTAATAATAATTATTGTATTTTCTTTTTTTATCTATGGGTTTTTCATGTAAAAAAATGTAGGTAGTTCGTTTTTAATTACTTATCAGTTATTGTAAAATAATTTGTGATTAATTTATTAATAAAAAAATATATATAAAAAAATGCTTTTCCTTTTTTTTGATGGACTGGTGCGGCGCTGTTTTAATTGACTTCCCGCGACGGTCCAAGCTGTCCCATCCACCCCTGATTAGGTAACCTATTTCACTATTGGAATTACATTTCTTATTACCTACCAAAAACGACTGGGCGCTTGGCCCACCTTTTATAAATTTACCGATAATTCTCAATTCCCTAATTCACCCGACTAACAACCTTACACAAGGTTAGGAGTTCCAAATATGGAGTAATTCACAAAGTCTGGGAATTGGAATGGGAAACTCGGAATGAATCACGCCGGTTATGACATCATTGATAAAACCCTACAACCTTTATGCGTAGGCAACTCATTAACGATTTGTGCAGAATCACGCAATGTTGGTTGTCTATAAAGTGGCGCACAGTTATTCGAATTTTCGTTTCCATATGGTTTTTGTGACCGATTTTCTTTATAATTATCTGAATGTCATTATGTTTACTTGCTAAATGAACATGATTCAGAATTGAGGCACTTTTTCTGGGAATGTAGGAATGTGTTGTGAAATACAATATACCGATCTCTTTTTACTTTTTATTATCTAATTAACTTTAAATTACAATCTAAGAGAAGGGTTTCGGTGGATACCTAGGTAGGTACCTATCTAAAGGAAATAATGATTATGTAAATCTCTGAAATATAAGCTAACCAAGTATAACGCTGTAATCTTAAACGAGATGTTTTGTAACGTGTCATATCGCTAAATGCTATATACAACAGCCAGCAGACAAAAAGTAAATTTAGTTGCGGCGCACTTGTTGCTCATGGTGTGAGGTGGATACCTACCGACTTATGTACGTAAACGACGGCGTATAATAACTATCGATTTTCAACATGGATGCTTAAATAATCATAACAAACCTACTACAAACAGGATATAAGATTGTTGGATGTTATTTTTGGAAAAAAGTAAGAGAATTTTTAAAAATAATAACAAGGGCTCGTGACCGATTCGATTTTCGTCCCAAATTTCAATACCGTACAAGTAGCGACGTCGTGCGGGTGTCTCGAGAAACAACACGGAATACGTTGTACGAACACCTCGAAAGTGGACGTGTGTGGATAAGCATGAAGAAATAACGTCAAAAATGGAGTAATTTCGTAGTTAAAGTGCAAAAGTGTAACCAAATATTGTGTGTTAAGATGTGTGGTAACGTGTGTATGTGTAAATAATGCCTTTAGTTATATCGAGAACTTGAAAATCATTTGTAAACAAACTGTGCAAGTTTCGTTCAAGATGGCTGGACTTTGAAGATACTCTTTGTCCGCATGTCATTATGAAAGTTGAGCTCTTTGCCCAGGATAGGAGGATAGAGTGGTAAGAAAACGGATATACTTTTCTCAAAAATAATAAAGTTTGTTTTGTAAAAAGTACACAATATGGTGCAGTGCCGACATTTTGTTCGACGACTCCCAGTGTACAGGCGGCCCTGATTTCTGTTGTGGCCTCGTCTGTTACCCAGATTATTACGTTTTCTTTTTGTATGTATTCATTATAAGGTAACACACTTTTCATTGCACGTCTCTCTCTTTGATATTGTTTTTGTAATTATCATTGTTTTAATAAGCAAAACGGTTGTTATGAGGTCAGAAGTCAGGTCATGTATTGCGTAGGTAGATACACGATAATAAAAACAAACCGTTTTCGAAAGCTTTTTTCAATATGTTCTACTTTTACAATGCTACCTATTTTTATTTTAAAAATGTTCTATCTCATAATAAAATGCTATTCATTTTATTTATTTACCCATATACCATTTTACAAAAATGAAAATCTCAATTATTAAGGGGAATACCTACTACCTATAAGTAGGTACCTATGTACTTTTCTTCAAACCATTTTTGGCAAGGGTATTCTAACTGAACGATTTTAAAAGTTTATTTTGATTCCAAAGGAAAACAAATGTAGGTAGGTACCTACCTATTTACATATTTGTAAAATCATCTGTATTATGATGTTCAATTTAGGAATTATCCAGGTTCTAAAGTTCCTGGTTCACATTTTTTCAATTCAGTTTATTTAGTGTTTGATTGTTTTCAATTTGTGACTGGGGATCGATTCCTTAATTGGAGAGGAATTGGAGCATTCGTTTTTATATTTGCAAATTTTATGTTTTAGTTTTTGGATCATTAACAACTGATTTTTTTCTTTATTTATTCTAGTTTTTTTTTTAAATCATAAAATATTTTTTAAATTGCTTTCCCAATTATTTGGATAAAATGTAATAATTTCCTATACTTTTAGTTGAATAATAATAATTGATAATCATACATAGTACTAGATAATCTTGTCATGTTTTGTTATTGCTTTTGTACTGAAACTGTAAATTATTGTGATGTCACATTTTCATGATGTTATCTATTAAATGCAATTTTTGACATCATTTGGGCTTGTGAAATTAATTTTTGACAACACATTTCGTTCATTAGCTTATGCGATTATTAATAGTCCCGATACCAGGAATAATATGATAATGATATCTGCTTTACATTTTGAAAAGTTTCCCAAGAGAAACATCGATTTGATTTTTTATAAACCGAACGTTCAAATTAACTATAGGTATTACCTATTTCAATTTAATTTGATTATCATAAATGAGTGAAAGATGACCTAAAATTATTTATTCATAATAAAAAGAAAACAGTATTGTATTGTTTTTATAACGTGTTTTAAGCACAGCATAAAGATGAACCAGTAGGCACTCTCGATAAGAAATCCTTTGATCTTACTAAGGTTTCATCCCCTTCAATCCTAATTCTGGTGCATATACATCTACTATGCTTTGTATGAAAGAAGCTACATGACTGATGTTGAGCATTTGGAGAATATGGCGAATCAATTGCTTAGGATGCTGTTGGCACACTTATATTTTTAAGTGAAGAGCACCTGCTGGTTCATCTTTATGCTGTGCTTTAAGTGAAGAGCTTATGTGTACAAAACTCGTTATGCCACCCCCAGAATAGTGAAAATATTTTAAAATAATAGATTTTCCTACTATTGTTTGGATGAAAACACCCCGCTAGGTGTTATTGAATAAATCATACAGTATGTATCATTTTTGCCTCATTTATGTTCAAATTTTATTTTTCTCATAATCATTAATTTTTTTTCTTTTTCTCATACTTAATTATTCGAGGGGCAAATCACTCCCGCAATACGTGTACAAAATGTCCGCAATCCCATTGAAAATCGCCGCAGTCTCATCAAAATCAGTGACAATCGCTAAGAAATCGCCGCAGTCGTTCCGAATTCGCTCGCAGTCGTTCCGAATTCCCTTGCAGTCCCCCGAATTCTCTAGCAGTCACTGAGCAATCACTAGCAATCGTTAAAAATCGCGCGCAGTAAGGTGACATTAACCAATTAGCCATTGTTGATGTAGGGTGCTTTGATTAAGCCATCTAAACCATTTTGTGTAAAGAAATTGCAGTTTACATTTTGAGGCAAGAACTATTAAGTTAAATTTACATTTTGGAATTTGAAGGTTTTTTTTAGGATAAATTTAGACACTAAATCTACTTGTATACAAAATTTTACAAGGTGGTCAAAAATTGTCCCTTTTCATCTAGTTTTTTTTTAATGTATAACAAAATTGTTGGTATTTTATGGGGGTTGGGGTGATACACGTTTTAATTAGGGTTTTAAATGTATTTTTACTTTCCTATCATGATTTTTTTCGACCTCGAATTTTCGACGGTTTTTTATGTTTTGGGGTATCCTGAATCTGTTTTGACTATTTTCGCGATGATGTCTGTGTGTGTGTGTGTCTGTATCCTCGATAACTCATGAACGGATACAAAGAAAAACACCAAATTTTAAACTTAAGCTTTATTCCGGCGTCCAATTAGCAGATTAGATTTTGGGCAGAGTCGGAATATTTGAAGGGTACTTTATAGTCATCATTTTTATATTTTATGGAATATATCTGTTATTTACGTTTGGAGAAGAAATTTTTTCAAATAAAAGTTACTTACAATATTATTATCTATAATTTGTTCTATACAAAATTTGGTCCGTATTCGAGAAATTTGACAAAATGTAAAAAAAAAAAATATTTTTTTATAAAAATTGTTCAAATAAAAGTTGTTTGTAATATAATTCTCTATAATTTTTGCCCTATACATAATTTCTCTAAAATGGACCGTATTCGAGATATTTAAGAAAATGTGTAAATTTCGAATTTTAAAGAAAAATCAAAAACGGATAAAGTAAAAAACATTAAATTTTAAACTTAAGTTTCCATATATGATGTAGATAATGAAAAGAGCATTTTTTATGGATTGGAAGATCTTAATATAAAGGATTTACGAAATTACTACACAAAAAGTGATTCTGATACCTCATTTTTAAACATAATTGTGAACAACAAAAAAATCAGTTCTTTGTTGGTTATTTTCCACTGAAGACGGGCGCTTGTCAACTGATAGATTATCTCGTGTAAAAGGAACATCCTCAGCAGTACTAAATAACAAAAAAAAAACAAGTCCAGAAAAAACACAGCTAAAATACCAAATAACTACAATGACAAAGATGTAACAGAAAGTGAAAAAACTACCGGTGAAAACACTTTGCTCCAGAAAAATATCAATGGCATTTTAATTAGGAACGAACAATATTACGCAATTCTTTACGAGTCGTGGTACATAGGTCGGATTTTTCAAATAATTGATGAAACCACTAGTAAAATAAAAATTTTAAAATCTGAACTTGAAGAATATTTATGGCCAAAAAAAGACGACATTCAAATTGTTAAAAATAAATTAATATTTTACGGACCCATCAATTCAATTGGATCTGGTCCATTTAAACTAGAAACAAACATCAATAAAATTTGTAAACGTCTAAAAAAACACTTTTATGAAATTTTTAAATAAAAAACCTCCAATTACTTAATTACTTAACTTGTTTTATTTACCTGTACCTATTTGTTCATTTAGGCATATCAAAGATATCTAATAATGGAGGCATGTAGGTACCTACATAGAAGTTTATATTTCGGGTATCACATCAATTAAAACTGATCTTCTGAATGAATAAAAAACGTACAAAAAGTTGATTTATTGATAAATTTGTCGTACACACTTAGTTTTAAATCAATGCATTGTATTTAGCACCTATACATGCGCTATACAAAATTTAGTTTTTCTGATGAAACACCTAGCTAATGCTTTTTTTACTGGAAACCAATTGGTAAGCCATACAATATCGTAGAAATCCTTCGGAATGCGTGCAATTTTGCAATAATACTGACAATCCATACGTACGAGTAAATCGCCGCAATCAATAGGGAAATTGCCGCAATCAATAGAGAAATCGTTGCAGTCAATACATAAACCACCGCAGTCACGGGAAATCTGTCGGAAGTAATGTGGAAATCACCGCAGTCATCCAGAAATCGCCGCAGTCATCTAGAAATCGCCGCAGTCATCCAGAAATCGCCATATGATTGCGGAAATCATATCAATTCGGCAATACATGTACATTTTTACAAAGAGTGATTTGCCCCTCGTAATTATTATATATTATATATTATATAAAGATAATACACAGACAAGTGTTCACTCATTTATGTGCATATCAGATTGGTAAATATATTAAAATTGTAAAAAATATTAAATTGTAAATGTCTGATAATGAGCATATATTTAAGAAAAATAAAGACCTGCACTCATATGATACTAGATTAAAATTTAATATCCATCAACCTTTTTCACGACTACAAATAAGCCAGCATTCACCAAAATATATTGGGATTAAGTGTTACAATAAGTTCAGTAACATATTAGAAGTACAGGTTATCATCAAATTAGTCCTAATGATTTAAGAAAACATCTTAATGATTTTCTTGTAAATAATGTATTTTATAGTATAGAAGATTTTTGAACTTTTAAACTAATCTTAACATGAATTGTCTATTATATATATTTTATTTTTTAATGTCTGACTAGTCTGATAGGATTTTACATTATGTACCTAGTGTCTTTGTATAGTGTATAATTCTCAAAGATGAATAAATTCTATTTCTATTGATAATAAATGGCCAAATGTTGATTAGAATATAAAAAGATTCAACCTTAAAAGAGCATCAAAAACAACCCCAACTGCGACTTGTAGAATTAAATATTTTTATGTTGCCAATAGAAAGAAGAACCCCCTCTAGATTTTATTGATTAACTCAATATATGATATAATTATTAGTTTTAAAAAAGATTCAGTATTCCAATTGGAAACCATCCCTGAAGTGACCCTTACAATTATATATTCTCCTGTTAATTATAGAAAAAAGAAACCCCCTAGATTTTATTTCTTAAATCATTATAACAGGTTTATTATAATCATTGGTTTTAAAATAATAATCAGCATTCCAAGTGCATCGAAAAGCATCCCTGCTGCTACCCTTAGATTCATATATTTTTCTGTTGCTTATAGTAAAAATCCTCGGAAATCATCCCTTAAGTTAAAAAAAAAATCCAAGTGCACCGGAAACCTTTAGAATCGTATATTTTCCTGTTGCTTTAAAAAAAAACCCGCTAGTTTTTATTAATTAAATTATTGTATAAATCGTTAGTTTTAAAAATGATTCCTCATTCAAAGTGCATAGGAAAGCATCTCTGCTGATACCCTTAGACATGTATATATTTTTCTGTTGCTTATAAAAAAAGGAACCCCCACTAGATTTGATTGTTAAAATCATTCTATAATTTAATCTGAGATTTAATCATTATTTAAAAAACATCATTCCAAGTGCATCGGAAACCGTCCCTGATGAGATCCTTGGTATCATATATTTTCCTCTTAGGTACTTTTAGAAAAAAGAAATCTCGCTAAATTTTAAATCATTATATGCCTGATATACCTAAGTCATTTATTTTTATTAAAGATTCAGCATAAACCACCCCAACTGTGACCCCTATAATTAAATATTTTCCTGTTGCTTATAGAAAAAAGGAACCCCACTAGTTTTTTTTTGAATAAATCATTATACAGGGTGGCTCACGCTCAACGGGACGGAGCTTTATGGGAAAACGACCAAAGATATAAAAAATTAGTTTGGGAGGAATACGTAGGTTACAGACGGCTATAATTTAAAATTTGTTAGATGTATACAGGATGTCCCACATAAAAAAAAAATTAGTTCATTAAAAATTATTCAAACAAGAGTAAACAATTAATTTCTGGGAGACTTTTTTTCCTTAAAATTTCAAATAAATCGAAAACTAATAATAATAGTAATAGGGAACCTTTAGTTAACTGACATTATTTTTGATGTAGTTTTTAATTCTAAAATAAAAAACAGGGTGTTCCATTAATAATAATATAACTTTGTATATTTTCTCTTATGTGGGACATCCTGTATACATCTAACAAATTTTAAATTGTAGCCGTCTGTAACCTACGTATTCCTCCCTAACGAATTTTTTATATCTTTAGTCGTTTTCCCATAAAGCTCCGTCCCGTTGAGCGTGAGCCACCCTGTATAATATAATCTTTAGTTTTAAAAGGGATTCAGCATTGCAAGTGCATCGTAAACCATCCCTGATGTGACCCTTGTCCTGTTGCTATTGGAAAAAATAAACCATGCTAGATTGTTTTGAATAATTCAATGCCAAGCACATTGGAAAGCGCCTCTGAAAGCACCCCTGCTGTGTCTACTTTCCTGTTGCTTATAGAAAAAAGAAACACTGCTGGATTTTATTGATTAAATCGTTATATAATTTAACTATTTGTTTTAAAAAAGATTTTGCATTCCAAGTGCATCAGAAACCACCCCTGCTGCGACCCTCAGATTTATATATTTTCCTGTTGCTTATTCTAAAACGAAACCCACTAGAATTTACTAATTAATTCAATATATGATGTGATCATTAGTTTTAAAAAAGATTTAGCATTCCAAGTGCATCAGAAACTATCTCTGCTGCAACCCTTAGAATCGTATATGCAGGGTGTTTCCGAACTTGGCGTCCAAATTTGTAGGGGTGGTAGTTTGCATAATTTGAGAGCGATTGGCAGATTTCATTTTTCAAAAAAATTTTAATAAACAAAATAGAGCCATTATAAAAAAAATCAAAGAGCAGGTCCTATCCTGAGCGCGTAGCGCAATAGTCCTCAAAAACAGGTGCGATTTGCAATTTTGTCGATTTTAAGCATAGCGCGCGCGAGTTGAGGCGATCTTATCTCTGTGCAGGACCGTACCTGTGCATAATTTTTAATTAATTTTTAATTATTTTTATTTTAAATATTTTGGAAAAATGAAATCTGCGAATTGGTCTCAAATTATGCGAACTACCACCCCTACAAATTTGGGCGCCAGTTCGGAAACACCCTGTATTTTCCTGTCGGTTAAAAAAATAAACCTCGTTAGATTGTATTGCTCAAATCATTGTATAATATAATAATTAAAGTTTTAAAAATGATTTATCATTCAAAGAGCATTGGAAAGAACACTTGCTGCTACCCTTAACATTATATACTTTTCTGTTGCTTACAGTGAAAATAAACCCTGCTGGATTTTATTAATTAAATCATTGTATAATATAATAATTAGTTTTAAAAAAGATTCATCATTCCAAGTATATCGAAAAGCGCCTCTTCTGCAACCCTTATTGTGTACTTTCTTGTTGCTTATAGAAAAAATAAACCCTGCTGGATTTTATTAGTTAAATCATTATGTAATATAATCATCATTTTAAAAAATATTTATCAGAGACCACCCTTGCTGCGACCCTTAGACTCCACATGTGTGTTTTTTAAGGAATGATCAATTTATATAATGATATAATTAATTAATCCAACAGGAAAGTATACGATTCTAAGGGTCACAACAAGGGCTCTTTTTGATGTACTTGGAATGCTGAATCTTTTTAACACTAATGTATATATCATATATTGAATTAATCAATAAAATCTAGCAGGGTTCTTTCTTCTGTAAGCAACTTGAAAATATAGATTCTGTCATGTCAGGGATGGTTCCCGATGCACTTGCAATGCTGAATTTTTTTTAAAACTAATGATTCTATTATACAATGATTTAAGCAATACATACATAAGACCTACAGCTCTCGCATCCTTAGCCCTTTTAATTTTTTCTTTTTCCGCCGTGCGGGTATTGGACCGGTTTCTCTTTTGAGCCCCGGTTCGTCCCTGCTCGCTGGACACAGCCTTAGTTATGTTTTTTTTGTTTTGCCATCCCTGAGGTACTAGGACTCGCGTTTTGTCCCATCTCCGTAGAGAAAGGACGAGACGCTTGCCCCCGTTCCCCTGGTCCAGCATTCATTGGTATTATGTTTTTTGTTTTGTCGTCCCTGAGGTACTAGGACCCGCGTTCCTTCCCATCTCTGTAGAGACTGGGCAAGATGCTTGCTCCCATACCCCTGGTGCAGCATTCACTGGCATAGTGGTCCACCCTGTGCCGGAAAAATTAGGTCCAGCCTCACTCCCAACATCTAATGTTGCGGTGGTTGCGCCGCCCCGTCCCTCCTGCTCAGAGGTCCCGCTAGTGCCGGTGTTTTGTCGGAGCTTCTTCTGCTTTCGCCTGAAATCTCCAGATTTTTTTTTTTGTATTTTTTGTTGTTCTTATTTTCGATATAAGTCCCACTAGTAGCTAGGGAAAGATTCGTCACTCCTGACAGAGCCCGCTTTATCAGGAGAAGGCTGGTTACTTGGGGGGTGTCACCGGTGCCTCCAAGGGAACGTTCGATGTCGCATATACCCCTGCAACAACAATTCATCCGTCGGCACGTTACCTTACACCTTAGATTGGGGGAGTTGGTTCGCGGCGGTAGACTTCGCAAAAGATTTTGAGAGTTTTTAGGCTCTCTCACTCTACTTAACCAAGAAATCCTGGCCGTTCTCCCATCCACCACCTGAAGACGCGCTCAGTAGGCACTCAACCGCTGAGTTTTAGGTACTGATTTAGATTTAAAGTTTTATCATTTAAAATGCATGTAATTTTTTTTTTATTTTTAAAATTTCTAATGTTTACCCACCTTTTACAATATTGCAAATCGATTTGATAGACCTTGTGGGGAATTTCACGCTGTTCGAAATTATATTCATTATGAGTGAGAAATCCTAATAATTCTAAAAAAGGTCTTAGTGTAGGGGAAATGGTAATCAATAGAAAAAATTAATCTAAATACATTATGAGTTCGCATTTACCAATTTCTTACGTTTTCAGGTATAAATATGGCTCTAAATTCATTAAATATTGGTCGAATAACTTTTTTTTATTAGTCAGCCTGTTTTTCCTCCCTACTTTTGGCGGTTTGCTCAAAAAAATTGAAATTTTATTTTTTTTTTAAACTGTACTTTGAGGACTCCTACGTTACACAAAAAAACTCTAAAACAATTTAGAAGAGCATGAAATTCCTCACAAGGTCCATCAATCCGATTTTCATTATTGTAAAAGGAGGGTAAGGTTTAGAAATTAAAAAAAAATTTACCTGCATTTTAAATGGTAAAACTTTAAAAATTTAAATAGTAAGTACTTAAAATTGATATTAAGAGCTCAAACTTGGTGAGATTTTTTTTTCTATATGTAGATTATTAATTTGCTTGAGCACCGCGGAAATGAATCACCCTACTGACCAGGTACCTAACATCTGTTATGTAGGCTACTTGGTTATCAATACCTACCTCTTGCAAGCAGGACTAACTGGGCAGAATCGATTCAGGTCTATTATATTATTTAGTACTTTTGCCTAAGCAGAATCAATCATTATTCCTACATTTAAAGCAACATAATTTGTAGCGTTAAAATATAAAGTTTCAGATTTTGTGCCATCCCCATTCCTTTGGAAACTATCCTGAACTCCTATTAGCCTCAAGAGTAAAGTATCCTTTTGCACGAATAGAATCAATCTTCACTCCTTCATTAAAAGCAACATAATGTGTACCGTTAAAATATAAAGTTTCTGATTTTGTACCATCCCCAATCTTTTGGAAATTATCCTGAATTCCTAATAGCCTCAAGAGTAAAGTATCCTTTTGTACAAGCAGAATCAATCATCACTTCTATATTAAAAGAAACATAATTTGTACAGTTAAAATCGATACCTACTACTTGTATCCAATTTATAAATAGACATGAGATAGACCATGTAAGTGAGATTATAGGTACCTACACATGGCTGACTTAAAACATTCAAAATTTTGGAGTTGGTATAGGTCTAACAGACATATTTTCTAATCCAAGGAGACATCATAGGTGTGTTTCCACAAACAGTCACCAATTTGTTGCCAATAAGTTTCTTATTCTTCCATTTTGTGATTAAATGGTGTATTCAAATTTCTGATTTCTTGATAGAACAGTTTCCAAATTTGTACAAAAGTAGTTAATAAGTGAAAAAACTCAACCTAACCTACCTATTTCTCTTTTATATGCTACATTTGAAAAGTACCTCATGGAGTGTAGTAGAGCTAGTAGATTTTTTAGTCACGTGATCGAGCAAATAGATCTTATGTGGAATAAAATAACAGCTGTGGATTTATTTGTTTCCCGTTTCCGGTTTTCATTAAAATAATGTGACCATCCGCCCCAATTTAGGCGGGACAGTCCGGATTTGAAACCACTTGTCCCGATTTAACAGTGTCCTGCTTTCGTTTGATTCAGTTTGTCCCGTTTTCGACTTTTTAAAATATGGTCACTTTACATTAAAATAACAAACTTAAACTTTTCTTTTAAATCAAATTTGATCTCTCGTCTCGTGGTTTTAGTGGCAAGTTGCAAAGTAAAGTTAATTTTTAGCTGTGGTATTTTTCGCTTTTTGCTTTCACTAGAAAATAAGTAAACCATGTTCTCATTTCTGTCTGACATTTCTTATAAATATTTTTTGTTCTTAATAATCAAACACTTAATAATTTGAAAAAGAATAAACGCAACACAAGAGACAACGAAGGACATGTGTACATCTCAAAGTACATCTAGTTTGTCAATTGTCACATAAATTACATTTACTCCAAAAGCTCTAAAATTGAATTCGGAGTAAATAGATCTTACTCGACTTACCAGCTCTGCATTAAAAAACTACGGAGTAGATCACATCGAGAAGCCACAGATGTATTAAAAGAACGGCTTCAAAGTGAAAAGAGGTATTTTTCAAACGCAGCATTATTTCTCAAGATTTGTTGTATTTGGTATGCCTACTTTCTACTTAAAAAAAAACAACTTTAATAAAAATAAACAACATAACCTATATTCTGAAATACAAACAAGATAGTACTGAATTGAAATTGTGCTGTGTACTCTCAACAACTGTCACAAAACCAGTCTCTTGAACTGTTGGAACAATGAATTCTTTAACAAAATTAGAATTAGTGTATGTGGATTTTGTTGGAATGCCTAAACTATGACTGCACACACTCTAGGTGACTACAGACATTTTCTAACTGCTGCTGGACTGGAACAAACCTAGTAGTATAATGCTAAGATTGTAATGTTACTTAAGTACTAATTTCCAAAGAAGCACATCTGTTTATTATAGCCAAATAAAAAATATTTATAATACCTAATTATATAGAAATTATAACTTTTTTTACTTTTGCCACCTCCAATTGATCCTCCAGTGACACACAGGTCTTCTAGTTGTTAAGATGTATTGATCTCTTTCTAGTAAGTGATCACTGTCAGTCCATTCAACAACTTACAATACAATAATAAGAGCAATCCTCACTCCTATCAAAATTACTTTGTCTCAATTCTTAAACAATAAACCAATTTCCCATTCTGGCTTGAAGATAATAAATAAGTTTACAAATGCACCGTTTGCTTTTTATAAAACAACCACAACTTTTCCATACTTCTGATACAATGCTTGTTGTTACAGGGAATGCATGACATGTTCATCCAATCCCAACAGTCGGTCACGAATAGCAGCAGTAGTAGCAGCACCAACGGGGCAGTACAACCAAAAAAGCGTAAGGCAGAACATTATAACAGTACCGGTATCGGTAACGGCAACAGCGCATCCGGTGGTGGCACAGAACTTTCATTCCTCGAACAGGTGTTCTGTGTGAACGGCAGTAATAACCAAAATTTTGGATCAGCCACGATATCGACGCAAACCACAAATAATCATCAGAACAGCAACCATGCCAGTAATAGTCCTAGCCACGGTACGAATCAGCAACCGTTCGTGCGTGCTTCGACCATCAAATTGCTAGATACTTATCAGCGCTGCGGCCAAAAAGTAAGTTTCTGAATGTTTTGGAATGTTTATACTGATCTCCCCAAAGCGATTGACAGACGATTTGATAAACAAGTTGCTAGGATACTCTGAATCAATAATATACGTATGATTAATATACTGATGTATATTGTTTAGTACAGACATCAAAATATTTAATGAGCTAAAAGATAAAAATCCCTGTCATAAACCTCTTATATTATTTAAATAATCGTAAAACTTATTCTATCCCTCTCATAAACAAATTCTTAAGGGTTGTACCAAAAACCCAGAAAAGACCCTGTGTACTTGTTACTCAAATAAAAAAAGTTTGTAAAAGAAGGTTAAACAACAGACATACTTACACAGGGTGTATTTAAAATACATATATGTATATTAAAACGGGTAGTATTATATGATGTTCAGAAATGAACGTTAGGAATTTTGCCGTGAATCTACTCCTTTTCCGACCATTGATCTACTCCCTAGTGTGTCTAAAAGCGAACAAAAATTGCAAAGAATTTACCAGATACTTTAAATCACATAAGTACATGAAATTAAATTTACCTCAAATTGTAATAAATCTAAAACGAACATGAAAAAATAAAAGTGCCTTTGTTAATCAAATATCTTTTCCTATTAAAATACATTAATAAAAACGTTGACACTACAATAACTGGAAATTTAAAAATAAATACCAAATTATGAAATACATTAAGGAATAAATGAAAAAGTAACAAAAATTAATTAGGATGATACTGTTGATTAAGTCACTGAGTAAATTTTGAATCTTATCGGAACGTCTAACGTCCTGATAGTCTAGTTGGTAATTACCGAGGTAATGACAGTGTGCCTAAAATACGATTTTATTTATTAAGTAGGGAATCCTGAGGGGAATCTTAGCCCAGGACAGTTTTTCAATAAATGTATTTTGACTTTACAGGTTTAAAAATATTTTTTTATATATTTCATAGTGGTAATTTTGAAAAATTTATTTGAGCGATTTCCAAAGAATGCTATTTATTATTTGTTTTCAGACTAATAACCGATATAGTTTTCAGAACGTTAAAACTGATTTTTTCATTAAAAAATTAATTGTTCACCCAATATGATTAAAGATTATTTAGAAATACAAACATTCTTTCTTTCAGCGAAAAACGTGGTCGCCAGAGGGTAATGGTAATAGCTGCGGGGAAGCGGTCATCCCCAGTACAGATTGTCCAATATCAACCACGACGGCCCACAGCAAGGTTACAGCGGCTCCGGGGGGCACCAACCCCCAGCCGCAAGGTAAGCAAAAAAGTAATGCCAACCTTTTTACTTTCTTTTATCCGTCTTTTTACCACAGTCCATGCAAGAATTATATTTAAAAAATGCTTGCTATAGTTAATAACTGGATCTTGAATAAAATAATCATCAACTATTTTAAAAATTATCTTAGGCCTCGTCTTAGTTTCTAAATAGGCCCATGTGATTTATGAAAAATATCATTTTTTAGCTTTGTCAAATTTCATTTACGTCATTACCACGGCCAGAGAGTGATTAGATTTTGACAGGAACTTTCGGCCCAGCCATGGAAGTATCATATTTTTATTACAAGAATTTTCGTCCCAAACAATAATTTATGATAATCATCGTATATATTATAATAATTACATAGGACAAAACATATTTTGATGTACGGATGTTGTTTTGTTTTATCAAACAATATATTATTATTATTATATACCATCCATATATAATATTTCCATTTGACATAATATAGGAATGTTTGTTTCACTTCAAAAAATAATATTATGTTCTACATCATTCTTCACGTGTGTTCATTGTAGGAGAATAAACAATTACCAAACTATTAAATTTCTAGCACTTTCCAGAGACACTTGTAAACATTTTTTGGATTAGTCTCAATGTCTGAGATCGTCAAATCATTTGAAGAATTTCGAACAACAGCTTGCCGAATAATCTTAGCAGGTTTTTCTGTCTTCTTTAGATTTTCGTTTGCATGCTTTTGTAATTATTTTTCTCTGCCATCTACTTCATGGTTGTGCATTAAATCATTTTTCATTATCAGGACCGATGGTCACCACTTTTCGTTAAACAGTTTAAGTACAATGTCACAATACTTTACCACTTTTCAATTCTCTGTTTTTATAAAAGGTATAGTTCTCTAAAAGAAGTAAATTTCGCTTGCAGGCACTTTGTATTAAACTCATTTTTGAAAGACGTAATATCGTACAACTCCAAGCATTGAAAACGAATGAATGATAACCCAAACTAATCCAAACTTTACCCTGAAATATAAATAAATAACCCTTGTGGTCATTGTTAAAAATGAATGGTCTTCATTGTCTTGTACTAAGTACCTGGTCGGTACTTAGTGCAACTAATCCAAACTAAACTAAGCTATCCCTAAATATAAATAAATAAATAATAATTATTAGTGAATGTGGTTTCGCTTGACTGGATAAAGTTTTAATCCTCCAAAATAACTTGTTTCTTTAATTTAACAGTATCTTGTTACAATATTCACATCTCTAACATCTTCGGTTTTTCAGATATGGAAATCTTCAAATAAAAATTGACCCACACCTCGTAACTGGACTATAATATTGTTATATTCCAATTTTCATGTCTGCCATTTTCTCGTATTAAATAAGTTTGTAGAAGTGATTTATAATATTGAAAAGAATAAAAAAATTAATTGTGATACGTTCTGTCTAAAATAACAGAATTTTTTTAATTATACCATTTTGTTTTGTTAAATTAACGTTATTTTTCTTCAAAATTATTCATTATTTTTTTCGGCAATGTGCTCTCGTTAGACGTCAAATGTCACTTGTTGATCTGTCACCTGAGGTGAATTTGAAAACCTAATGATGTAGACGCTACCCAATAACTAATTCGATTAACAAAGATAGCAATTTGGAAAAGTTATTAGATATATTTTTAGGCAAAATCACTGAATCCACGTCAAATTTCAGATTACAATCTTAAATTCATACTTAATTTTGTGTAGACTGCCTTTGTTCAATTAATTTGTTTTAAAATCACTTATTTAAAAATGCACATCATTTATCCTTCAAATATCTCATCCCGCTCTACCCATGCATTCAAATATTGCGTATTACCTATCCTGCAAACATCGATTTCACACAGCCCTAAATATAATACAAGTTAAACATATTGTCCTCTCGACACGTGCCAAAGGTCACGTATGCACCGACTTAAACAGAATAAACACTGTATTTTTTAGTCAGATTTCAATTTACATGCAACGAATTTCTCTTCCAAAGCTGGATTACAGTTTCATACATCTAGGGTAAAGCTGAACAATTTCTAAGTGCAGTAAATCAAAGTCTGCCATTAGACATTACTAGATTTGTGGGTAATATTTTTATTACTTAATGTCTTCTAATAATTTCAATATCAATATCCTAACAACGAAAAGGCCACCCTGATAATAATTCTTTAAGCTAATCAGTAATCTTGAATTGATGGTAAACCGAAATCAATGACGTGAAACATAGTAGATGTGTATATGCATATACACCAATATCAGCCGCTATTAATAGTAAACTATTAATATCAAAACAACTTCGAATTGTCAATAATTGTGATTACAAAATTTTTATTTGAAATATATTTTTTATTTTTACCGAATCGTAACAAGATTCTATATAAACATTGTTCAATATAAAAAATTATTTTAACGACTGCAATTTAAAATTAATCGCACTGTAATCATGTTATTGAAATGTTAAATATTTTATTGCCTAACCAAACTCCGTGACTCAGAATTAAAACTATGAGGCCCCGCGAATTTGTTACCGTATTGTCCGTTTTGTTGTAATACCTAGTATAATTTTATTAATACAGCTGGAGTATTTTAGTCCCTCGTCTGACGGCGTATAGTAGCTCGTCGCTTTTTTACACGCTCTTTCTAATTGGGTGAACAAGTTGTACTATGTCCGGGCGGTGGGATCGATCATGTGATCTGTGAAATTCAAAGTAAACTTTCGCGTCGATGGATTTTCGTTTTTGCTCGCCTGGTTTTTCGACGAAATTCGGGATATAGCTTAATCGCAGTTTTTCTGAACAATTTTGCAGGATTTTTTTTTGTAAAGGCGAAAGAGTTGCCACCGGGCGAAAAATATAGTATAATTTATGAGAAATTGGATAAAACTAATGAATAAAAATACCTGCATGGGCGATAGTCATAGTTGAGAGTTATACAAAGGTTTTGAGAGCAATTAAACTTCTTCTAGGCTTTTAGTTTCGTTATTACACCTATTTCAGTGAACATGCTACGTTTCGCCAGGTTGTAATATCAACCCTTCTCCGACACAAAAACCTACGTGCATTATCATCTAGTGTTCTGCAAAACCGCATTTAAGTCTATATTTTGTTGAAAAAAGTAAATGTCGGGTCGCGTGGACGGAATCCCTACACCGGAAGTAGCAAAACTAGATGACAGAAAATGCCCTCGTAGGCATTTTTTTCTATTTCCGACGTATGTAAGCATATATTTCAAGAGCAGACAAAAAAGGACTGAACGGCTTTTTGCGGTCAGATGAGGGACTATAATGACGATGAGACGATCAAAATGGCCAAATAAGACACTGCACGTGTTTAAAAATATAATTCTTGCTTTAAGTCCAATCATTACGAACTTTTCGCGAAAAAATACAGAAAGCGATTTTTTTTTTTAATCATTTAATACATTTTTTTAATTTAAATTCAAAATGGCCTCATTATCTATTTATCATTTTAAGACATTTTCATCATAAAAATCAAAGTAACTTTTTTTGTGATTTGTGGGTATTTAAATTTCCCACAATTTTTGTCTACAAAACTTTTAAAGTTAATATTTATTTACTTATTTCAAATGTTTAAAAAATTGTTTTTAGGCAAATAGCTCGTCAATAATAATTATTCATTGTACAACAAAATTGCATTTTAACTAATTTGATATATTTTTTTTTGTTTGAAACAGTATAGCTACTATTTATTTAGGTAGAAGGTTAAATGGAGCTAATCTACACGAGTCATTCACTGTCAAAACAGTAGCTTAATGACGTAGGATATTTTACTACCATAGCCCTAGTTACCTATATTTTTATTTTTACGTAAAACGTTAAAGTAAAATAACAGTAAAAAATTACGGTACACGTATCGTCTGATAGTATAAATTGCATAGAGCATAAATATTTTCTGAAATACAGATTATAGCTCCATCCAGTAATACAATTGTACATTAATTTACTGTATGAGAAATGCCTATTTTATTATTCTTTCTAAGTTAATTGTCATAGTCCTACGGCCAACGTGCATATTTGTGATTTTTCGTTATGCTGATTCGATGAAAAGTGTCCATCTACAAGAAATATTAAACCCTCCACCAATGTATCTCCAACGTTTTAAACTAGCGCGTGAGAAGGCATGCGCGTGACTTATTTTCTTATAGTCCGTCAGATAGTGACAAGTTTAGGTGCCCCATTTTTGCATACAAGCCTCGAAGAGGGTTGAAAAGTACTTCGATTTTAAGTAGAATAAAAGGAAATTTACGAGTGGCTGCTGGGGATAACACATGGAAAATTCGATTTTCCTTAACAAAAATGAAAGGTTATTTGTTGCCCATTTTTCCACTCAAGCCGTTTTCACTACATGATTAATTAATAGAACTAGGCTTCAGAAAACCAATGACTTTAATGTTGCAAATGGCTAAAGGGTTGAAATAAGGAAAAATCGAGATTTTGCCCGATTTTTCCACACAAGCCCATCGAATGTATGAAAACGAACGTCGTCACTAGTCCGAAAAACATATTTTCTTGGATGACCCGAATGTATAAATACATTTTGAGGTCGGAAAATTTTTCTGATAAGGAAAATGGAATTTTCCATGTGTTATCCCCAAGAGCTACTCGTAAATTTTCTTTTAATCTACTTAACATCGATGTACTTTTCAACCCTCTTCGAGACTTGTATGCGAAAATGGGGCACCAAAATCGGTCACTATCTGACGGTCTATTATGGCTGGTTTTTTGTTTATTTTCAAGTTTTTGTTTTTCACAAAATTTTTCTCTGGGCCATTTTTCTCTCCACCGTAATAAAGTTGTGCGTAAGTGGGCATGCGCTTGTCTTATTTTCAAAACGTGGACGCTTTTTATAAAGCAAGATATTTCACTGAATTAATGTCCATTAAAAAATAATTCACACGTTGGCTCTAGGACTATTATTCATATGAAAACAGATTCAGTTTCAATCAGTTCAAGGATTCTCATTTAACTTAGTTTTTTGGC